TGTGGCCCCTGCTGAATTATGAGTTGCGTTGTCAACTGATCCTAAACCCCTAATCCCAACAGTCCCTGTTAGGTCACAAAGGCTTTCTTTCATGTCGAATTGGGTCGCCGACGCCCCATGCGATGGAGTCGAACAGCTTGCCGGCCTCTGTCGGAATTCTGCCAACTTAAAGCCTTTCCAGCTATCTATCTGTCTATTTATTTATCTATATACACCTGTAGGCTCTGAACCCCAAGCTCAATGCCCTAAACCCTTAACTAGAAGACGTCAACTCAGCACCCTGAATTCTAATCTCTGCACCTTCAACCCTGGACACGAATTCCTGAATTCTGTTCGGGTCGCTGCTAGGGGCTCGCCGTGTAGGGATGCAGGTTTGGGTCTAGGGTTGAGTGTTGAGGCGTTCAGGTTTTGGGTTTCGGGCTAGAATTGAGACTTCCAAATATTCAGGGGCATCTGAAGTCAGAAGGGTTCTTGAGCTCTCTGGACCCCGAAGAAGTCCATACTTAACTACTGTGAAGTTACACATGTGCCAAAAACTTATAAACCCTAAACCCTTAAACCCCTAAGCCCCCAAACCCCTAACTTCTAAACCCCTAAACCCCTAAGCCTACCCTACTCTCGCAAGAAGAAGGTGAGCAGAGAGCCCCAGAGATGCTGGGAAGCTCCCCAGAAGATCTCCGAGATCAAACCCTAAGGGTCCAAAGGACCCAGTAATTCGGTACTCGGTTTTAAGATAGTACGTATGTAGGTTAGGATTTTGAAGAGTCTATATGATTATTCGGTACTTGGACCCTTGGGGATCTGGCTTCGGAATCACGCTAAGCATATAGGCTCTACAGTGATGAAGAGCTGCAGGTGCACGGCTGGCACTATCGTTTCAGGTATTGCTTGGAGTTTAGGATTTAGAGTCGAGGGCTGAAAAGTTAGACTTCGTGACTTCGACTGGCTTACTTCTAGCAAATGCACTGGTGATCGCTGTTCGCCTTATCCTCCTCAGAACTGTTTTGGTGTTGTCATGCTTGTTGTTGCTGTTCTTCATGTTGACCTCCGGACAATGATCCCTTTCCTCGAGGACCTTCATGTAATTACAATTACTCTCAGTACACCCTGAAACTGGCGGCTCCACGACAACCCTAATGCGCCAAGTCCCCAAGCCACAACACCTCGAAACTAGAAATCCTAAACCATGAAGCCAATACACCCTCAAGAGCCTCAATAGCCCAGGCCAGATGGGAGTTTCCGAAAATAGGGGACCCTAATAGAGCACCCCAAATAGTAGGATCCCTAGTATAAGGACCCCAAACTAAGGTACCCCTAATTTTCGGAAACTCCCAAATGAGTGAACTACAGCTCCTCCTGGGAGAGGACAGGTCAGGCTCGTGCTGGGGACTTCTTCCTGAAGCTCCACAAAAACACCAAGATATTTCTCCTGATTCATGAACTCCGCAGTGTTTAACGTTTAGAAGCCTGAATATATGCGTAGCCCGAGTAGTATATTTTTGAAAGGAAGAGGGTGTACAAATTAGTGGTCTGCATCAATATGTGAATCCGTAGGACTCCTTACCATTTTCACTACGATGATCTACTCCAAAACGATACTCTAACAGCGGCCCCAGCAAGAAACAATCTTAGTTTCCCATGGTACTTGAAGCAGGCACGACCGGAACTGGGAGACGCGCTTTTCCCCGACTCGATCCTGGCGGAAGTTAGGGTTCAGGGTGTACGGGGTTTCGGGCTTTCGATTTGGGGATTCAGGGTTAAGGTCTAGGAGTTGACGGTCTCGGGTTTAAGGGTTAGGGTTAAAGTGTTGCATTACAGTTTAGGGTTTTTCAGGGTGCGATGTAACGGCCTTAATCGTCTCAATGACGAGAACAGGTTTCCTTTATGGCTCAACTCTGCGAGGGTTGCTATAGGGGTTACTATGAAGATTTCATACCAGGGCCTTAATCATTTAGGCTACGGTTTGGGGGTGTAGTGTACCAAAGACTCACTCTGCCCAGATGTAAGGATGAGGTCCAGCCGAAGGCATCGTGGCTGCATGTTCCCCTTTCCGCCGGAACGAAGGAAGAAATCTTGCCGCAAATTCATCGGCGGGGACATCTTTGCAACTTTGATGGCTTCCTCGTATTGCCGCTTTCTTCAATGTAGTCTTTCTTCGAGGCGAGCCGTTTGTGCCGTCTTCTTCTCCGGATGCCTGCAAGCGAACAAGCAACCTCAACTCAGTGCTCGGCAGGCTGGCAGCCTCCATCTGAACAATCGCGAGCTTGTCGCGAGACATGACACATTTTAAGTTGGGTCAAGACGAGCTGGGTGTTCAAGGTCTAGGGCGATTTCCCCAAACCCCAAGCTGGAAGTCGAATGTATTTCTGCATCATCAGACTTTTATTAGGGGGTTTTGGAAACTGTGTCTATCAGGACTCCATATGGCAGCCCTGAAAGCGCTCCAAGAGCCGCAAAGGACCCCTATTGACCCCGGAAGCCATGATAGAAACCTTGCACGGATCTGTCAACGGTTGATAGAGCCGTCCCAAGGGGGATTCCACGGAACCAACTCCGTCCCTGAATATGATTTAAGCAGAGCTTTCGCTTGTATACTAGTAGGACAGACATGACACTAGCACTGCAAAGGTTATAGCATATAGAGTTGTGTAGGGTATACGGTTGAGGGTTTATGGGGTGGCATAGATTTAGGGTTTACAAGATCGGCTGATCTCTCTGGCTTCTAGGTATGCACCTTCGTCATCGACCTGGTTTTAAAGTCAGGAGCTGTCGACTCGAACATAGCAAATCCTTGTAGCCGGAGGCGCTGCCTCTGTCAAATACTGCCAAACCACACTCCTAAACCCCAAGACTTAAACCTGAAACTACCCTAATTCTGATATCCTGAACCACAGGAGCCCTAATTACGAGCGAAGCTGTGGAAGCCTAAAGCCTTCACACAAGCCACCCAAAGCCCCTTAAACTACCCATCCCCAAACCCCATCTCCCACAACCCAACCCCGGAACCCAAGATCCGGATTCGGAAAAAAAACCTCAAGTATTCGTATTTCTTGACCCCAAAGAACCGCCTTTCACCCCAAATCCTAAGCCCTCCACCTCAAAAAAAACCCTAGACCCCTAAGCCCACTCAGCCGGCCTCGCTCAAAGGCCACCTCGGGCTGATTCGATCATGGGTCATACAGGGGACTTTTAGGGTTTAGGGTTTAGAGGTTTTCGGGTTTAGGGTTTAGGGTTTAGGGTTTAGGGTTTAGGGTTTAGGGGTTTAGGGTTTAGGGTTTAGGGTTTAGGGTTTAGGGGGGTTTGTAGGGTCTAGGGGTCGTACCGGGTTTTTGTAGCGACGGGTGAGTTTTAATATTGTAACGGTTTAAACTGTGTGCTACAAGCGATTCTCGGGCCGCTACAGAATTCAGCAATGTAGGGGCCTTGTCACTTCGATTGGGGTTGTGGGGTACATAATTATAGTAAAGCTACACTGGTTCCGAACTCTACGTCGTCTAGGGTAGACCCACTGCTGGTTTTTAACTGGTGGAACGGATAATGATCCAGGCCCTAGAAGAAGCAATCTGAAAACTTTGAACGGCGCAAGCTCTATCCCAGAACTAAAGGTTCACCTTTGAGATTATATCGAGTTTATAATACCCACAAAAAAAGTTATACAAAAAAACGAAGTTACATGCGTACTCTACCATGGCCGTGAGGTTCAGCCTCACGGTTTCGCTTTAGGGTTCGGGGTATAGGCTATATTGAACTTTTTGGCATAGAGTGTAGGGTTCACGGTTCAGGGTTTTCTTTATGGTTTAGGGCTCGGGGTTTAGATTTTAGGGTGCAAGGTATGCAAAGTTTAGGGTTCGCGGTTTCCCCTAAGCCCCTGCCGCCCAACGGCGCGAAGCTGCGAACCTCCCAAATAAGACTTTAACATCTCGTACGTGTTGCTTAATTTCGAAATTGGTTGCGATGCGCCTACCCCTTCGCAATGCCACACTCTTCTGATTTCACAAACTGCACCCCTCTTCGAGCTTACGCCCTTGCCTATGCTGCACACATCACTTGTTTTTCAACGTGGAACGCTTTCGCCCCGTGTCGTGCCGAACACAGCACTTAGTCCGCGCCTATGCACCACGCCAGACGAGGGCAGTCCGGTCCGAAAGAGGCTGCTGAAACAATTAAACAAATAGCCTACATGAAGGATCATGGGACTTAGTAGCTAGGGTTACAATTAAGGTAACCATACTTATAACCCCAATTAGTTAGGCCCTGCTTCTATCAGTAACTGGCACACCTTCTTTACCGGATATGTGTCTGCCGTCTCTTTCTGTAAGAATAGACAGTAAGATAAGTAAGAATATTCATATAAATATACATAATATACAGTTATCGGTTCCAAGAATAGACAGTTCTCGGTGCCAAGAATAGACAGTTCTCGGCGCTATCGGTGCCAAGAATAGACAGTTATCGGTTCCAGGAATAGACAGTTATCGGTGCCAAGAATAGACAGTTATCGGTTCCAAGAATAGACAGCTAGCGGCTCCAAGAACAGACAACTATTAGGACAATTTTGGGTTCCTCGAATATCCGAGTAGACATTTATCGGTTTCAAGATTAACAACAGGCTCGTGGGCCCGTCTTCATTCTGGAAGCCGAAATCCTGAAGCTGTATAGACTGTATAGACAATCCAAGTGGCAATCATTCGTCAGATCACGAGATTTCACTCATAAAGAAGCCGTGTCGGCTCCGTTGCCCCAAGAAAATGGACTTCTCAGAAGCCTTTTCGGATTGCGATGCACCTGCGGATGTGCTTGCAGAGGAAATTTCGGAGCCGGGGGAACCTGCTGGAATAGATTTTCTTGCTGGGTTTTCTGATGGGGAGGAATCCGAAGCAAGGTCTGAGCTTTTGGAAGTCATGCCATCTTCTACTGCAGGTCCTGAAGAGCAGGTTGCGAGACTGGGTCACAACGAAGGCCATATTTCTAAGAAGTGCAGACGTCGACCAGCACCGTCCATGGTAGGCAAAGTAGGTCACGGGCGACATGGCAGTGGTTTCGAGCGGGCTCTTGTCTGCGCACATATGAGGGCACAGAAGCAAGCGAAACGAGCTGCAGTGGATGCTGAGATGATTGCAGAAGCTTTGCGAGACACTTCATTGGTTAAAGCGGGGTCAACCTTTAATCTTGAAGTGAAGCCGCATGCTTCAGCTCCTGGTGGTATCAAGATCTTCCTGCAAAAAGCTCGTAGCAAAGGCAACCGGTTCGTCAGGAAGATACCCTTTGTGAAATTCATTAAAGCATCATTTGGCCAGAACACGAGTAATATCGCCTTGGCTACATTGCTTGGAGTGGATTCATCGACTATCCCGAGATTACAAAAATCCTGTGCGGGGGTCTTTATGGCCCAGCAGGCTCGGATGGTAGCGAAGTTGTGTGCATACTGCCAGAGATGTTCTCCTCTGGTAGTCCTTCACCAGATCAAGTGGGATGAATCCACTGTGTCAACTAGCTTGAAGCCTGGAGGTACAGCTCAAAGTGTCAAATCTGCCTGGAGTGTGCTTGTCGTTCGGAGTCGTCTACTCATCATATGGAGCTCGGGTGCCACATGGCAGATGCGGCTTGTGTATCCAACGATCCCCTTGATGGGTTCCTCAGCCGACCAAATCTACTACGGTCTGCGTTTCCACCCGTCATTTTACACCTTGAATGAGATGTTGCGGATGCTGAAATCAACGGCTGAGCTGAAGGGAAATCTGCATGAGGTTGATGGAGCATATGCTAACATACGGCTTCACCATCATTTCTTATCGATGGATTGCTTCGACCCTTCAAAACCCGAGGGCCAGTTTCTTGAAACCTGTCGTTGCCAATCTCACAGCACTCATCTGATATCGGTGGCAATGCTATCACTGGTGGGTGGGAACCTCTTGAACAAATTTTACGGGCTCGCAGTATTCACCAAGAACCTCGGTTACTTGCTCCGGCTGCAATTGGCTCTGAAGCAGTGGCTTCAGGAACCTTGGAAGTAGGGACTAGTGAAGGGTGCCCGGCTTTGGCTTAGGACTGCAGGGGAGTCTCAGTTTTTGCTATAGTGATAGTGATAGTCAGTGATAGTATATTGTATATTATATACTTTTTGTTTTATGTCATTCACCCCGACCCCCTTTCGGATAAGGTTCGTGTTATAGTATTATATATTGATTATTCCGATTATTCCTGATCTTCCTTTCGTCCTCAGTAGACTTAATCTGGGATTCTAGGTCCGGCCTGTTTAGAGCAGGGTGGTTTTGTGATGTGGCAACCGTTTGGAGGTTTTGGGGCTATGGGATACGGTATCGGTATCTGAGATCCGAATTGCAGACTTCGATTGACGAGGAGTATTTTCGGTGGGTAAGAATGGATTGATTAGGGTTTGATGGTTTGAGCATCTCAGGAAACATTGGTGTTTCGTGCACATTCTGACAGCCTCTCAGCGCCCGATCCCTTGATGGAGCAAACTCTTGATTTCTTGCAAACGTGGCACCACGGTCGTGATGCGGACTCTGGGCAGGATGCGAGCTGCAACAGCAGTCGCTTTCAGCGCCTTTTGAATGAGTTTCGAGACATGTGGAATGGATCTTATGCAGGTGTCCCTGTTCACAGATGTTGTTCCGGTCATTGTCAGTCACGGGAAGAGGCTGTAGACAAGATGAGCAAAACGATGATTGCATTGTTGTTGACATGTACCCCGGCGGTGCCGTCGCCGAACAAGTGGACGAAAATCTTTCCATCGTCTGATTTCGTGGCACTAGGAATCTTGATCAATGGGTTTCTGCCAAACATCTTTGACATAGCTTTCAAGGCTATCAACTTTTCCTCCGATGTGCAGCTGGAAGAAACCGATCCACGATTACTGGAAGGATTGTTCTTTAGTGCAGTTCAGGGCAAGCGATACGTGTCCAGCAGCGAGTTTCTACATTGTCCTTTGGCACAGTGGGCATGCAGATCGTGGTTGCTAGTGTCAGAGCATCTTCGTCGCCTGGTGTTTCTGTGGCTGCGTAATCTGAAAGCAGGCAAAGTCTTCGGTAAGCGGTCTCCTGTGTTCGAGTTGCTTGACAAGCGGAGCAGCTGTGTCTGGGCTGTCCTCCAAAATATTTCGCACCAATTGTTGCAGAAAGACGGTGGAGGCCGTCTTTGCATGCTCTGGAGAGCCTCGGGTTTTGCCTCCTATGAAGAGTGGCTCCAGCATGCTTCGCAGGAGGTCAGGGATCTTCGGAGGATTTTAATTTCTTTGTCCGGCTGGATCTTTCGTCGCCACGTAGCTTACTTCCAGGATATGCCGTGGGGGCTTGTGCAGCTCGTCGACCCGCTGGCGGAGCCCGACGTGGCTCAAGCAGTTCGAGATCGTTGGGACGGTGCGGGGCAGTGCTGTGTTCCGGCAGGAATGGCCCGCAGCTTGAAAAAACTCGGCATATCGGGTCAGGATTTGTGCACGGTTCCGAAGTACAAAGCACTATTGAGTGCCTATGCCAGGCTCCTGGACCTATCCATTGCCGATGTGGAAACCAAACATGCTCTTTCGAGACACTGGAGCGACCGCCCATTTGCCACTCTCACAGCTCGACACATCAACCAGGAAGCAAAAGTTTGTGTACAGGAGGCGCAATCGCAAGCTGAATCATTGAAGCCAAAGCCTGAGGAGTCACTGACCGGCACAGCTTCCAAAGCATCAGCTGGAGCACTGGTATGCATGAAGGAGAAGCAGATACGTAGCAAAGCTGCTTACATGTTCTTCCGGGACGACATGCTTGAAGCCCGTCGTACATTGCAGTCCGATGTTCCCGTGAACCCTTGCAACGAAGCTTTTTGGCAAGAGCTGAGGCAGAAATGGGAGGCACTGCTTCCGGAACAGCGAGCCTACTACGAGGAAAAATCAGCCCAGAGCAAGATTCAGTGCGAGCAGAAGCGACTCGAAAAGCGAAAGCGAAAAGCAGGCCCCGATGTCATTGTCAAGGCTATCAAGGATGATGACGGAGGGTGTTGCCCGGATGCTGCTGCTGCTCAGGTGCCTGCTGAATCGAGGTTGGTGCCCGGAGCAGTGTTGCAGCCTCTTATGTTGCCGGGCGATGTGAATTCCAGCCTGTCCTACAATCCCTGGGTGCTTGCATCTGACGCCTCAACAGCAGAAGATGTCACTTCACTGGCAGGTAATGTCCGTGCTTGTCTGCAGAAGTTTCAGCAGGGTGGCGAGGTTTCCGTGGATCTCGTTGATGAGTGCCTTAAGCAGAGCCCTGTATCTCAGAGTCATCTCGAGTCGTGGTGGCGGGGGTCTTTGTCGAAAGGGGTAACATGGGCTCAGACCTTGGACCAGTACAATCGTGAATCGCAGCGGTTCAGTTTGCCTCCTGCAGAATCTGCTTTTCCCGACCGTGTCACCTACCAGGGCCATTGTGGAGTGTTCTGTCGTAATCAAGCCGCTGCAAGTGAAGTCTTGTTCTATAGGCACTTGCTTCAAGCCTTTGACAAATCAGTTTCGCTTTCTGGGCAAGGTTGTGTGGCTGCTGCCAGCAGAGCCGACATTTTGTTGAGGTTCCATTTGCTGGGTCCCGAATCACAGGTGCTGTCGGAGCGATATGCTTGGTTGACAGCCCCATCGGCGCAGAGCGGGCCTCATGCTCCGACACAGATTTTTGTTATGCTGGAAAGTCGTTCTGAAGCTGCCGGTGTTCGCCTGTGGCTGCGATCGGGGCAACGTCTGGAGTCCCAGGTTGCTTGGTGCTCGCAGGCATTGCAGAAGGGGCCCCTTGTTCATGAAACAGAGCAAGAATTTGCGAAAACACTGTTGGATGAACTTTCCGACCTCAGGGGTCAGGCCATACAGATTCGTAGGATGTCCTTCAGAGATGTAGATTTGGCAACTGTGATTGTCGATGGTGCTTGGCCGGGCTGGCAAGACATTGTGGTGAGCTTGGTTGCAAGTAGCGACGAACCGCAACAGCATCAGGGTCCAGATGCTGGTGCACGACCAGCACTCGCAAATGAGCCCCAAAGCCAAGATATGGATCTGCTCTCACAACTGTTGGAAGGTCCCTCGCGAGGTAGGGGTCGAGCTAGGGGTCGTGGAGGCCGCACGTCATCGCAGCTTCGGAAAGCCTTTGTGAGTTCCCTGCCCTTTGATCAGCCGTCCGAATCAGAGTTGCAAGCTGAACTTGCGACTTTTTTACAGGAAGAGCATGTGCTGCCACCAGAGCCCGCCACGAGGCTCGAACGAGCTGTGGAGGATCCAGTTGCCGTCGCTTCCATGGACCCGTCTTTTGGCGAGTCTGTGCTCCATGCTGTTGATATGTGTCGGGCAGCAGACGAAGGCTTCGAGGCTGTCTTTTCAGAGTCCGATGACAATGAAGTCGTCGGAGAATCCGATGAGGTCAAGCAAGGCGACGAATCGGGAGAGGCGGTCCAAGAGGTCGTTGAAGAGGGCCCACCATCCACTGAGGCGCCCTTCTCGGAAGGAGCCGGGGTCCTTGATCCCGGGCATGCAGCTTGGTCCGGGAGCAGCATTTGTTGTCGTCTTGGTCGGCATTCTGGTTCGGATTTTCATGGGATTGAGAAAGAGTTGTCAATGTCAGATGTTAGTGTTTATTTAATATTAATATTGCGTAATATAAATATTATATGAATATTATGTCAGTTGTCTCATGTAGCTGTCTAAGCATACCTCAGGGTTTAGGGCATTTCGGGATGAGGCCGTTGATTTATGAACTTATGGGTTATGCTGATGCTTATGAAAGTACGGAGAATACTAATATATAAGTAGTGTGGTTCTGTTTCAGACTCATGTATGACGACAGATTTATTGGATGTCCCTGAGTTATCAGACTCAAAGAGCCTACTAACTTGATTATATTGTGGCTGCGAACCGTAGGTTATACAGCAGATACTACTTATAGTGTATAGTTTTTAATTTATAAAAAAATATGAATTAGAAAGATTTAGAAAGTATAAGTTGTAGCTTTATATACTATATAGTCTAGTCTATGTAGGCTATATAGGCTATAGGTTATGTGATACAGTGATACAGACTCGTGACACACAAAGGTTAACTAAGCCTCAGTTACAAGTTTTATGGTCGTGGGCTAGGCTGTAGAATGGGCTCTGGCTGTGTGACTTGTTAGCTATAGCTATAACTATAACTGATGTATTATAAGTCCTGGGCTATAGGGTAGTTATAATTTGAAATTTATAACTTATAACGTATAACTTTTGTTCCCTAACTATAGGCTATAGGCTGTAGTTCTTGGATGGTGGAAAGTTACAAGTTACAAGTACTGTAAAATGAATCTAGTTCACAATCCTACAGGAGGCCCACCGCTCGATTTCGGTTGAACCATCACCTTCCGGATACAACCCATCGCTTCAAAGCCTACAAACTATACCTGTCATTACCTGTTGCCCCGACGGTGATTCGTAGTTCTCTAAACACTAGTTGTCTCATAAGTTCCAGGCAGAGGTCAAAGCCCCTAACTCAACAATTTGTCATTCGTCGTTCAGACTGGCTACCTTGAAAAGGGACCCTCAGCCCCGAGCCCATTCCCCTTAACCGGCACCCAGCTCCATATGCAAGGATGCGATGACGACTGGCCAAGCTTCCTCAAGCTCTGCTACTTCTGGCAGGACGTCTGGCAGTCGAGAGAGGGTTGGCAGGACGTCTGACATTCGAGAGAGGATCGTTGGCCGCAGCCAAGCAGGTAGGAATATTAAAGTGCTGGAAAGCAAACACGGCAGTGTACAGTTCGAGGTGTGGGAAGATTTCGGCAGTCGTAATGAGCTTGTCGGAAGAGTTTCTGTGCTGGCACAATCGAATCGAGCGGTCTATAAAGCTGTCTGCAACAAACACAAGCAGTGTCATTGTGTGATCAACTGCCTACAATCCGAGCCAGTGGTGCAGTGGTTGATCGCCGGGGCTGATTGCAGCGCCCAGCAACATGAGGCCTTGTCTCGCGAAGTTCGGAAGTCCTTGGGGATGCGAATTCGTGGTGAGAAATGAAAACCTTGGAAAGCATAGGGCGCCGGTAGCACATAGTCTCCTCACCATGGCGAAATCATGCACGTTCTATGTTAATCCCTGTTCCTGCTCTGCCTAGCTTCGGGCTTGTTTGGTTGACATAGGTATAGGCTAACTAATAGGGTGTAGTCTAGTCGGTATGGTCTGGGAGTCATAGTCCATAGGAATGATAGTTTATTGGGAGATATTCCAATTGTCAATCATCAGTCATTGATCATTGACTCATTGATCATGGCACGAGTTCCCTTTTGGTAGACAGAGCAGATGTTTTCAGCGAAGTTACACTGCCTCTGTTGGGGATATTCCCTAGTCTCTGAGGCAACAGATGTCGTGGACAGGACTGTTCTCTGCTGGTCGGAACCAGCCTGATTTTTCGGGCCACGGAATGTCATGTCTGTAATAACACGAAGCCAATGCAAATCCGAGAGCGATTAGTTGTTGCCGTTGCTGTCCTGTAGCCAGCAGATTGAGCATCCTGCCTCGCCGAAGCAGTTGGGACACGAGAGGGGGGGTAAAAATACAGATGCTGCCTGCCCGTAACCGTAGACCAATAGACCCAATAGATTGTCGTCCGGACAAGCACACAAATCTCAGCTCAAAGCCTGGGTATTTGAAGTCAGTTGTTGGTGCTGAAATTGAAATACGTCACTGCCCAAAGCCCACAAGCTCAGGGTTGTAGATGTTGTAGGATTAAAGATTCGTGGCTTAGTGGCCAGGCAGCTTGGCATCGGGGTATTCGCGGTGTGGGGTTTCTTGAGTCTAGAGGTTTGGGTCGGGGCTCGTGTTCAGGTGTGCAAGGTTTGTGGAACCGGAGCTTCTTCGAAAGCCGGCGGCTGGGGTTTTGGAGCTTCAGCAGGTTCAGGTTTGAATTTCAGAACATTAGGTTTCGGTTTCGGTGATCTGAGAAGGCTCCGAGCAGCCTCCCAAACCCCCCGGAGAGTGTACTGTTCTGGGGCCCGGATAACAGTACATTCTCGCCCCGCCGAATAGCAGTACATTCTAGGCTTCCCCCAACTACCTACCGTGAGTAACCTGCTATCTCCCCGACCCCAAAGTGTACTGCTATCCGGGCCCCATAACAGTACACTCTCCCGCCCTGCCGTGCCCCAGAACCGTATCCTTTCGGGTCCTCCAAACAGGCGCCCGAAGCCTCAATCAGGCCTCCAGTCACTGAAGATTTCAAGCGATATTATGAGTTCCAGGTTGGTGGGTCGGCCAGTTCGGTGCGAACTGTCTTCGGAGCTTGTGTGTGTGTATCTGTGCTTGTCTGAGTCTATGTGAGACATGAGTGTGTTTTATGTTTGTTGGGCAGGGTTTTCTATTGTAGCATGCTCAAGGAAGATTGAGACATGTTCGCTGTCTAAAGATAGGGTTGGGGCCGTTTCGGAAACAGAGAAGCACAAAGGGTTCCCACCTTTCCCGTAGAACTTCTGTGCATCGTATATTGTGCAGTAGTGGTTGTCGTTGTGTTACACATATATTTATGGTGTGCGAAATGTTGCACACGTGGCATCATCTCTGAAGTGATGAGCGACCGGTCTTTGTAGCCTGTAGCGCCGCCAGAGCATTCGTGCCCCGTCTCTCGCACCTCAACATGCCGAATTCCAGCTCCGCCAATAACGACCACACCCCGTCAGCAGTGGAAGAGAACACTGCGAGCCAGGATAGAAACAGGTCGATGCCTCCCGGGCAACCAGAACCGAGCGAACTGCAGGCTGAGATGTTACTTCAGCAAGATTCGCAAGACACAGGTGACACAGGGGCTCAAAGCATGGATGTGGAAGGCGAGTTGACAACCGAGGCAGGTTTGCTGGTGTCGCTGTGGGTTGCCATTATGGTTTTCTGGAACGAAATATAGGAGGGTCTAGGGCGGCTATGGCATGGGCCCAAGGGTTACATAAACCCTGCGATATAAGCACCGCTTCTTTAAGTTATTTACGTTTATCATCTATACTGTACTTATTCTACTTATAAAACTCAAAGAGAGTAACAACACCCTACTTGGAGGTTCATGGGTAGTTATAAGTTATAAGTAGAGTTGTAGTATAATTCCCCCAAGGTATAAGTTGCAAGTTATCAGTTATAAAAAAGTTATAAGTTATAAGTTATAAGTACCCTACTTATAACTGCCCATGAACCTCCAAGTAGAAACGGCTGGCCTCTAGGCTTCAGTGAGGGACTCTGGAACGGCTTCAGGGGTATGGGATTGAGGGCTTGGGGGGTTAAGGTTTCTGGGATTGGTTCTGGCTGGTTCCAGCATGCCATGTCTGCGAGCGCACTAGCCATCCTCCTCCCTTCTAGAGAGTTGCCAACATAGTCTGTGGGCCTTTAATATTAACCAATACTTCTTTGGGGTTCCTTGTCGTAGTTATACCGTCTCATGGTCTGCCCCACAAAGACCCACATGCTAATTTTTGAAGGCCCCAACAGATGTGATGTGTTGACTGTGTGCCGCACTATCCCTCCGAAGCATCCGCCCGCTACACTCCAGTTCTCTTTACAGGGCCCTTGTGTCGCTGTAGCTTCAAAACCCGAAACCCTATGCCGCATATGCCTACAGCCTATAAACCCTAATCCCTAGAAGCCCTAAACCTAAACCGTATATACCCTAAATCCCGAAGCCTCTAAGCCCTAAACCCGATAAGCCCTAAACCCTATAAGCCCTAAACCCTAAAACGTCACCTTCAGAGGTTCTATGGGTCACTTGCTTTCTGGCTTTCTGTCTTGAACCCTACCCGAAGCCCGAAAGCCGAAAGAGCTACAAGCATGAATTTCTTAGGCCATCCCTCGATCCCTCGAACCTATGCGGTAAGCAAGCCGTCGTCATGTTTCCAGGACATCCCGAACGGCTTCCTCGACCTATGGAACGAAGCCTATCGTACATACACCGAGGTTTGCTTCCGTGCCCGCCAATGCAATCAAAGGGCACCCTGCTGGCCCGACTTCCTGAAGCTCTACCTGATCCGCCACGGCTACACCGAGCAGCTTGCCACAACACTGTCGCAGATGTGAGAGTGAGGGTTGAGTCGGTGTGAGGCTGTGGATGCAGTGTACCATAGCTGATGGCATTCGTGGTGCCTCCTCGATCCTTCGTCATTTTGTTTTCCCTTAGTCGCAGGATCGGTCGATGGCCTTGCATTGGTCTCTCTCTCATGCATATAGTTTTTGACTTTGCTCTGAACAGAAGCTGCTGCCGCCGACAGAGATAGTGGGCTGCAAAAATTACAGAGTTTTGCTGGCTCGCCTTCGCAACCAACATGCTAGGAACAAGCTTTGATACCGTAGGCCGTAGGTGTGCTGGTCGCCCCAGATAGCAGTGCTGCACAGTCCAGAAGTCAGAAGTCAGATGCATGCTTTCTGTTGTCAGTGCTGCCGAGAGAAGCTGCACATTCGTTCGCAGAGGCACTTGGTGACTTGTGTTTGTTTGCTGGTGATGGCAGTGTGCAACACTCTCAAGATTTTGTCCACCTGTCGTAGATCCTCTCTCGAAATTCGCTTGTATCATGCCGTTTGCGAAGGGGTCCTCATGTGCTCGGTGCAAACGTACTTTCGGGGCAGTGCCTAACCCTGTGGTGCCAAACCCCGCCGAAGGGGACGTCCTTCAGCGACGTGGCAACAACAATCACTGTCAGGTGTGCTTCGCATTCTGCTCTGTCCATCCCACTTACAAGGAATTGAGCAGCAAAGCCATCACAGAGAAGATCAATCAGAATCAGGCCGAGTACGACCAGAACTTGTCCGAGTACGAGGCAACCCGGCGCCAGGGCAAGAGATACAAGGCGGAAAAAAGCACGACCGTCTCAACGGAGACACGGCAAGGGATTTCAACGAAAAGGATCCTGGGGTACCTGTATCCACTGGCGGCCTTGAAAAAGGCAGGCGAGGAACACTTGTGGTCTAAGCTTCCTCGTCAGACAGTGCAACATATGGGGCGGCCAGTCTCTGGCGTTCTCCGGGAGACATGGGGTCCTGGGTCCATAGAGGTCTCTGAGGATTCGGCATCACAGGCAGTTCGTTCCCAGATTGCTGCTGAGTGCGAAGCGGACGAGCAGGAGAAAGCCGACCAGGCTTTCAACCATCTTGGTCAACAGCTGCGATTGATTGTCTCCGAACAGGAGGCAGCCGATGGCGGAGAAGCTGGACTGAGCCTGAAGGCCAGCAGGCCCAAACCGGATGAAGACCAAGATGACTTCATGGCCTTGTGGGGTGTTGCCCCCATGGTGGCTTCTTCTTCTGCCTCCCGTTCAACTTCGACGAAAGCGGCAAAGGACGAGAGCAGCGAATCCACCAAGCCCAAACGGCACAAAACCAATTCGGCTGGCTCCAACAAAGGGTTCAACTTCAGCTGTGCGAATGATGGTAATTGTGCGGACACGGCTTCGCAGCCGGACCAGCAGCAGGCTCCTCAGGGCTTGGGCAGCTCAGCTTCATGGTTGTTCAGCATGAAAGCTCCTTCGAAGGGCAAGGCTGGCAAGGCTTGCCCCAAGGTCAAAGAGATGGAGACGACGGAGAAGCTGTTGACACAGCACGATCAGCTAAAGAAGCTGTTGGTAGACGACTCCAAATTCTTGACCTTGACCTATCAGAAGCTTTCCGCACACTCCGACAAGCTCCCCGCGAGGAATACGGATGACCTCCAAAAGGTGTACAGGGAGCTGAGCAACACTAGCACGGATGGCCGTGCCTGTGAGGTGATGAAACAGCTCGCTGCTGCTTTGATCGAGATTGGGCCCATTTGCGAGTTCATTTCGGCTTTCCAAGACAAAGAGTCTACGGGGGCATCCATGCAATCGGCCCTTCATGAGTTGCAATCGACCGGCATTGCAGTTCCTGCGAGTGCCGGGAAGATGTGCAAAGCCCGGCTGCTGGTGCAGCATGCAAGTGCATGTCGGTGGCAGGATTTCTTGGAGCTCATGCAGTCGGATGAGACTAAGGAATTGTTTGGCGATGATCAAGATGCCTTTGCAGACTTTCAGGCTTTCTCTTTGCAAACAGCCCTGACGAACTTCTTGAACCAAGAGCTGCATGTTCCTGGTTTCGAGAATTATAAGCAGGAAATGAAGGATGCTGGGGACGAGATCTCTGCCGAGGAGAAGGAGAAGAGGGAGTCCAGGAGAAATGCAGCCCCTCGCTTGGCAGTTCATAGTCGTAAGTGAAGCTATAGCATGATTTGTTTGTTGACTGATCTTAATATTCATTAATTAAGTCTTCAAGTTTCTGCAATTCTAGAGCCCATGTAAAATCAACATTGTAAGTTGGGATGGTATGAGGTATGCGGTTCATATGGTATGAGTCGGTATGGGTCGGTATGAGTATGAGTGTACGTTTTTGTGGGAGTGACGGATCCGTTGTGGTAGTGTTCGGCTGAAGTTCGGCTGTACCTGAGATACAGGCACAGTATCAGTAGTATCATAGAATCATGTATTATCAAAAAACCATTGAGTATTATTTTATTAATTATTATTCTATTAACAATTACATTATATAATATATACACTGGACACTGCACAGTGTACTGCACGGTCTACTGTACATTCAGTGATTCAGGCTCACGTGTGACACTGTGTGATCCGTAACCTTGCTTGATATTATGTAGTGACTGAGGCTGTCACTGCATTCGCGCTGGAGAAGACGAAGCAGCTTCATGGCTTTTTGGTGGCCTTCGCCGAGAGTGATGTCTGTGTCAGCTGGAAGGATCGTCACGAGTTGTCGTCATGGCTAGAGGAGTTGAACAAGCTGGCCATCCTGGTTGACTGGGCTGGACATCAGGACAAGGTGCTGTCCGGCGAAGATGTGCAGACTTTGACAACGGCGAGAATGCAGCTAGTTCACAAGAAAAGCCGCTTCTTCGAATCGCTCACTCTGTTTCCATTCGGACAGTACATTCAGCAGACATGCGGTGTTCTACTTGTGTCTTTCCTTCGTGATCAGAATTTCAAGACCGAGCTGGACTCTTGCATTGAGTCCTGTGGAAACCTCCGAACCTTTACCTCTGATTCTCTGTTCAAGCAGGACACTTTGGAGATCACTGTTCCAGGGCAAGCGAAGGTGGTTGACATCGTCCAGAAGATCACAGCGGTACAGAACCAGGCCTCGAATCACTTCATGCAGGCGAACGAGGCCCAGGTCGACTTGGTGAAGGTGAAGATTGGTGAGTTGGCTACAGCGATGTCGAATGCTTGCATCTACAAGTTCCGAAAGACTTGCATGGACACTTTGCAGCCTTTGTTGAAAACATTGGTTGCAGGGGACATCGATGCTGACGGCACCGCCAAGCTTGTGGAGATTGTCAATGAGGCCAAGAACTTTCTGCCCGTTCAGCAGGCCCTCCTCACCAGATGCTTGGGAACCTTGGGTGCTGAGGTCGTTGAGATGATCCAGCAGAATCGGACTTTCTGGACACGTTTCTCTGCCATTATCCCTGCCGTCGTGAACCTCATGACGCCTGCCACCGTGGCGTGCGAACCGGGCAGATTGCTAGGGGCGGACATTCTTGCACTGATGGACATGTACAGTGAGACCAAGGTCCAGCTGCTCCAGAAGATGTGTGTCGATATCTGGCCCGAAGTGTTGCAGATTGGCAATAACATCAGGCGAGCTGCCATGTCACTGTGATGCATATGGGATCTAATTTTACTTTAACCCGAAAGCCCCAAGCCCTAAGACCTTTAACCTAGGCTATGAAGTTACAGCGGTTCACTTTAGTTACAAAAGGCATGGTTGTAAGTTGCAGGTGGTTTGGTTTATCATACAGTGAAACCGGTAGATTGATTCTGCTATGTTATAGTTTTTAGTGTGTTAGAAGTAGTTAGATCTTATGAGTTATAGTTCTAGTTTATAGTTATGGTATTACATGATATGGTAACTTGGAAGATAGGGTCTACCGTTGGAGTAGGGTGCGAGTTTTGTAATGGCACCATATCCCGATTGCATCAGGCTTCGTTTGGGAAAGGAATCCCAGAGTTTTGTGCAGTTCGTGGTGTTCATGTCCGGACAGAGTGAGGAGACTGCACGTGCATTGGCGAAAGACGTCGTGGGCGAGTTCCAGGACGAGGAAGACAAGATCATGGTCAGTTACGAAGCAATGTTCGTTCATTACGGCAGCCACCTACCGTCTGATTGGAGTCCGATGCAAGCCGAGGTACATGTTTCTTCCGCTTCTTTGTGTGCTGCTGGGTCAGCACTCCCCCTCGCGAAGATCTTCGTGCACATGGTGTCGTGGCAGAAGGAATTGGTGCAGTTCGTGCCGTGTGCTACGATTCTTCTTGATGGCGAGCCAGCAAGCCTTCCGAAGAAGTTTCAATCAGACGAGTGCCTCATCCGTGCTTTGTGTGCAAAAGAGCATGAACCCGGAAAGTTCATGCACTGCCTTCGTTCAGCTACGGATGCAGCTGAAACAATCGGTCACGACATGGCCCGATGCTTCGCCAAGACCTGTTTGACAAAAGCGCCGGAGCTGTTCCAGAAGATTGTCGACATTGTCAAGACCGAGGTCCTTTCCACGATTGCAGTCTTGAAGAAGTTGCATGGGAATATCCCCACATCGGCTCAGTTCATCGCATCCCTGGACAAGGGCGAGATTGATGCTAACATGGCCAATTCTATGTGCAATGACGTGTCCATGCAGCGGCTGTACATGTTTCTTCAATGTGCTCTCGAGGACTTCATGGGTTTGAAGAAGGTCTTGGTCGGAATAAGTGCGGCCATTAGTGTTCGTGAGATCGATGATGGGTCGGCGGCATCCGGCTCGTTCAGTGGTGTGATAGCTGAAGCCAAGGCAGTAATTCAGGTATTTGCAGAATTCAATGATGTTTCAGCAAAGGATGCGACTTTGATTTCGATTTCCAGCCTTGTCGCCAACACGACTATGGCTCAGGCAATCACTCGCGAATTAAAGGTTGGCGAGACGAGGCCATCGCTAGTCAACAAAGCACTTTGCGGAATCCGCAAGCGGGGATGGAAGTTGCATCCCGTACTGGTGCAGCGATCCACTGCTGTGCTGCAGGGAAAGGCACCCAAACCTGCGGCAAAGTAAGTAGACCCCGAAGATTGCAAAGCAGTCGCGAGTCGCACATGTTCCCGCCAGTGCTGTTCATTGGCTAAACGACTCTCCGAAAGTGATGCTCCCCCGGGCCTGGGAATTACATAGGTAGATAATTTACATAATATCGTGGGCTTAGATATGATATAGCCTCAACATGGTCTTTCGAATCGTGGCTGGGGGCTTCACTCCAGCAAGATGCGAGCGGAATTGCCCGCTTGTGGCACTTGCAAAAAACCGCATGACAGAAGGTAGCACCGTGCAAAAAAACAGACCTCGCGAGCTGTTCTTCAAGCTAACATCCAACCGATACCCGAAGCCTACCTAGAACCATTTCTGAAGCTCTCGATTCTCCGAGCATCCGCAGGCTGGCCGGGCAGCAAGTTGTATTCTTTCTGTTGGGGCTTGCTTGTTCTATCCTCCTATTCCAGGGATGCTTGACTCTTTACTTCTATGCCTTATGTATAACTTATGTTCTTAATTGTTGGCGGTACCTCCCCGGCTTAACTGTTTATTCTTTCCAAGAATAACTGGTTATTATCCCCAAGGATAACTGTTTATTCTTCCCAGAATAACTGTTTATTCTTCCCAAGAATAACTGGTTATTCTTCCCAAGAATAACTGGTTATTGTTCCCAAGAATAACTGGTTATTGTTCCCAAGAATAGACACCTGAACCCCCGTAAAGAGATACTGTTAGAAGCAGCCCCTAACCAATTAGGGTACTGATAACCTAACTTAAATCATAATCAGCGCCTGGGGGTCGGACGTTCAGGTCGCCCGCAGGTCCGCCTGCACATGCTTGCTTCTGGCAAGCTCCGCCTGCTGCTGAGTGCTGCCAACGATCGCCATTGTCGCCTGAAACATTCTTTCAAGAGCCGCCCAACATACAGCTTGCGCCGCCGGATTCTGTCCCGACATATCCTCATAGGAATCATTCTCCTTCTCGGATTTGCGCCAGGTCACGCTCATTCCTTGCTTGTCCAACAAATGTTGCTGCAACGCCCAGCTGTCGCCGAAGTGAGTTGTAGATGCAAAAGCAAGAAATCGGAACCCCCCTCGGAACCTGTAGCTTCAGAGAACTAAACAAGAAACACGACAGGGCTTAGAATCCAAAGACATCTGAAACATAGAAGGGGCCCTGACAGTTGAGAGGGTGTGGGGAAAACTATAGGGAGACTATCAGGGGATAGTATCGGTAATTATTTCGTCTTCTAGCTCTAGGTCTCCACCCTGAACCCGAAATCCAAACTTTAGGTCGCCGACGGCAGCATCCTCTACAACGCCCCTCATGTTCTTGGGCAGGCGATCCTTGACGCATAGTGGCTGAAGGTCTCTTGGGCTTGGGGTCCAGGAGGTTAAGGCCTTCCGGCATTGGGGTTCGACTATTTAGGGGTTTACGGGTTAGGGGTTTAGGGTTTAGAGGTTTAGAGGTTTGGGGTTTGGGATTTCGGGGTTGAAGGGTTTAGGGGTTTACAAGCTCGGGTGTCAGGGGTTAGAGGCTAGGGTTTAGAGGCTAGGGCTCAACTCATAGCGAAGACAGATCTGAGACACGCGCATGTGAGTACAATATCAGGGGCCTCTAAAGGGGCCCTCTGCTGCCATGAATGTGGAAGGTCCCTTAGGTTTCAAAGCAATGCGGATGCCATAAACAGTGAAGCGCGCGATGAGACCCGGACACGACGCTATCCCGAAACAAAGCGAAGGATATGCAGAACAACGAGGAGGCTAGTGTGTGTATATTGTATGTATATCTACTGTATACATACTTATTTGTAAACTGTTTGCGGTCAAGAAAAACGATGTCAGCAATATTGACTCTTCGAACATGAAACATCGATGTTTCATCATAGAAATTGGGGTAGCACCAGCAGCCACACGAATATGTAGTTGTCCCGGCCCTGAACACCCAGTAACAACGGTAGAAGTCATCACAACAACAATGCTGAAAGTAGCACCTCGATCGAGCAGAACTCCCCTCAAACAAAGAATGCCCCTGTGAGAATCACCTAAGTAGCGAGGATCACGATCCCCCAACCCTAAAATATAACCCTCAATTTAGCCAAAACCCCAAAGCTTGAACCCAAAAGCCGAAGCCCTAAACCGTTTATAAACCCCGAAAGCCTTAACCTCAAACCTTAGAGCCCTAAACCCCTAACTAAACCCTAAAGCCCGAAACCCTAAATCCTAAACCCCCAAACCCTCAATCCTAAACCCTAAACCCCTAAACCCTCAAGACAAGTTCGGCCACCTTCGCCTCCTCCAGCTGACGGCCTGGGCTTCGAAGCAACCATAGGCTCCATAGTAGAGCTTAGGGTTTAGGGTTAAGGGGTTTAGGGATTTAGGGATTTAGGGTGTAGGGGTTTAGGGGTTCAGGGTTTACAGGTTAGGGGTTGGGGATCAGGGGTTTATATAGGGGTTTAGGGTTTAAGGATATTTAGGATCTTGGCCGGTAATCCCAAAATGGAACCATTATGGAGCCTATGGGTATCCAGGGAGACCTAAGTCGCTCTTTGACTTCATCATGACTCCTTTCAGGAACAGCTTCCAACTACGAAGTATAGACTTTGAAAACATGAAGGCTCCTTCAAACAAATGGTCCAAAAACACAGAAAACGAAGTATCGACTTTGGTTTTCATAGCGGTTCCGCTAAAAAAAAGGCATCCAACAAAAACACGCACACACACACACACACACACTTTCAAGTAATAGTACTCCAGAGCCCAGCGGCGCAGGTACCACCGGTCGCGAAGGCCCAAGCCCGAGGAAGATCTTCGAAGCGCCTGCTTTTCGGTTTCAGGATGAGGGCTTAGGGTTTAGGGTTTAAGGTTTAGGGTTTAAGATTCAGGGTTGAGGGTTTAAGGTTTAGGGTTTCAGGTTTAGGGTTGAGGGTTCAAGGTTTAGGGTTTAAGGTCTAGGGTTTAGAGCTTAAGGTTTAAGAAGGGTTTGAGGTTTGAATTTAGGGTTCAGGTGTCTTCGATTCGAAGCGACTCGGGTTTCATCTTTGGGCCTTAATGAGTAGAACAGGGCCTCCGTCAGGGTTTCCTCTATACGCGTTACTAAGGGGTTATTTATTATGAGGGGCCAATTGTGGTATGCGGACTTCAAGGCTTTACAAGGTTTCTGGAAAGCTTCTTTAAGGTGCAATTACGGGTTGTAGGGTTCAGAGTTTGTGGATCTTCGAACTGATCTCAGAAGTTCGGGCTTAGAATTGCTGATTGGGTCTTATGGTGTTTTGTGGGTTGTTTAGGGCGTATAAGGAAGGGGGTCTACCCTCGGGGCCTTTGTAAACACGCAAACTACGGTCTTGGGCTACGTAGTATCTCTTCATGTCCGGAGCTCATGTGATGGGAAACCTATCACTAACTATGACTGTGTCATCCACCGTGGGCACATCATCAGGATCCTTCTCCGACCAGGCTCGGATATGGAGATCGGCCAGCCAGCAGCATCCAGTGGAACACGGATGCATGGATTATGCCACCCAGCGCGGCAGCAGGCGGCCTGCGACACCTTTGGCCAACTTTACCTGGCGGGCTCGGCTGCACGCCGTGGACTGCATGTAGTGCGGAAGCTCGCGCACCGCCTTTCGAGCTACCACCTCCTGCTGCGGAGCAACGCAAACCTCATGCAAATATCGCATGATCTCCAGGCCGGAATAGGATCCTGCATAGTAACCATGGATCTCGTTGAACGTGTAGTAGCGACCGTCAAAGGGCTCGCTTTTCTGAGGCTCCTCGATGCCACAGAAGCTTTCGCACCCCTCGCCAAAAGTGTCCTCGTCGAACTCGTCGTTCGTTGCGATCCTTTCCTCGAGCTTCTGCAACAGTTTCACGTCGTGAAGACAACGAGGCATGCTTACCAAAATGGATTGCTATCTGTTAACTACTTGGAAGGGCAGGGGACGTAGTAAGTAGGTTATAAGTAGAGTTATAAGTGCCCTAAATGGAGTTACCCCTATTATAACCCTACGTATAAACGGCTTACTGAGTCCCCTGCCCCTCCAAGTAGACCCTAAACCCTAAACCCCACAGATCCCTTTACTTAAGGAACCCTATAGATCCCTTTAAGGAGCCCTTTAAGAACCCTAAACCCTAGTCCCCTGCCCCTCCAAGTAGGAGGACGCAGGAGAGCAAGGAGCTTGAGCTTTAAAGCGAGGAGCTTTCAGTTTCAGTGCTTAAGGGTCTTAAGGGGTTGGGGGCTTTACGGCCTAAGGGCCAGGGGTTCAGGTCTTCAAGGCTTAGGGGCGTTCGGCTTCCGGGTTTCGGGCTTGAAGGCCCTAAACCCTAAACCCCTAAACCCTAAGCCCTGAACCCTAAACCCTAAACCGGGGTTCAGGGTTTAAGGCTTCAGGGCCCAAGCCCCAAAAACCACAACCCCCGGTCTGCTGCGGATTTCGAATTCATCCCTTGGGGATGCGGGTGTCGGCTTCAAGGCTTTAGGGTGTTGCTTATTTTAGGCTTCGGAGGTTTGGGGTTTCTAGGGTTATATGGTTTAAGGGAGTTTAGGGTTTAGGGTTTAGGGTTTAAGGGGGTTAAGGGGGTTTAGGGTTTGTTTGGGGTTTAGGTGGGGCCGCCCGTGCCGAACCAGAACCGGCCTCGCTCTGGACGCCCCCAGAGCCCATGTCATCTCCACTACAATGACAACGCTTCGCACCAACACGGTAAGACTTGCTCTTCTCATCATCACCAAGTGATTGCTGGCATCATTTCGACCAGGCCTTTGATTCAAGTTCAGCATCTTCGGCAGAACTACCCCAAATCTACAACCAGCACCAGCACAGCACGTGGATGACTACGACCATGACGACGATCAAAAGTGTGCGGTGGCCATGGGAGCAGTAGTGGTCATGGAGGCTGCTGTGGGGGATCCTTCAGGGTGCAGGGCTTCAGGTTGAGCGTAGGTTAGTACCTACGAACAGTTTATATCATGAAATTCTCTACCCGACCCGTTGGCTGCAAACCTTCAAACAATCGGACCCCTAGCAGTAAGTT